GGCCCCAAGGGGAGGAAGAGGGGCGCTTGCAGTGAATTAAGGAGGAAGTCGGGTCCACGCTGCGATTCCCCATCACGGTGTCCATGGCTAACATCATCCAAACGGCCCTTTGTGGTAAATCAGATGCAGGTACTGGATCAATGTTACATTTACAGAGGCTGATAACTATGCTGTGGTTGTACAAGAGAATATCCTCATTCTTAGGAAATACTCACTGAATTATTTAGGGGTAACACAATAGATTGCTTAGGGAAAATATGTATAGAATAGAGAGAGAGCATGTACAAAAGATAAAGCAAACAGGGCAAGGTGGTAACAATAGGCAAAAAGTGTGTGGATGGCCTTTGTTATAGTCTTGAAACTTTCCTATAAATTTGGGACGCTCCCAAATAAGTGTTGTTGTTGTTTAAAAAAGGAAAATAGCTCTTTACATTGAGAGCATTGAAGAATACTCTTAACATGTTTAAACCCTCCCATGTAAGACTTATTCCTTCAGCGCCCACCCTCCTCTGGCAATCCCTGAGGTGGGGCCCTCCTGGAGAGACTCTTTCTCCTGGGCCCTCCGGAGACATCGTAATGACATTATTGGTTCTATTGGTTTTAATTGCCATCATCTTTATCTGCTTTCCCTGCCCCGATTACCTATTTTTAAAAATTGAGGTATAATTCACATATGATAAAAATTTCCCTTTAAAAGTATATATAATTCAGTTATTTTTCCTATATTCACAAGGTTGTAAAACCAGAACATTTTCATTGTGCCTGAAAGAAACCCCGTACCTATTAGCAGTCACTCCCCATTCCCTCTGCCCCTGGCAACCACTCCGTTTGTATGGATTTGCCTGTTCTGGACGTCTCACAGAAATCATACAACATGTGGCCTTTCATGTCTGACTTCTCTCACTTAGCATAATGTTTCCCAAGTTCATCCATGTGGCAATATGAATCAGTACTTCATTCCTTTTTATGCCTGCATGATATTCTGTTGTGTGAATATCAGTTACTTCTTTTACATTTCATTTTATTTTGGGTAGCTTGTATATTTTTGAAAGGGACTTTAAATCCTCTTAGAAATAAGTCAGGGTGGGCAGTGAGAATTATATATGACCCATAGGAAGGAAGACTGGGGTCCCTGGGACCCTCAGAGAGGACTTAACCCCATGATCAATGTGGTTTTATTTCTTTTGCCCTGGGATGGTAGTGAACTGGGTACTTTAGGGCCCTATTGAACCTCTGCTGCAACCCCGCCCCTCACCTCTCCTTCACACCGCTGAACAGGGGATTCTCAGAGGGCTCCTGAGGGTGACTGAGGAGCTGAGAAGTGGAACCCTGGAGAGTAAGAGCATGCACACGTGCATGCACATGTGAAGCTTGTGTCTGCACTCAGGCCTGCCACCACATGTGGGCAACAGAAATTAATCAGGGAGATAGGCTCACTCACTCCCTGTCGCCCCCTTCCAGTCTGGTTATAGGGAGTAGGTAGTCCCCAGGGCACCTGCTCTGCGCTCTGATTCTCCTGGGAACAGCCCATTGCTGGAGACTGAGCAATGTCTGTCCTGGGCACTTCTCAGCCCCACCAAAGAGAGAGCGAGAGAGCCCCAACTTCTTGCTGTGGGCAAGCAGAGACCAAAAGTGGGAAAGGGGATTCTCTCTGCAGGGCTAAGAACTGATCCCGGCAGAGGATGGGGTCTGAGGAAAAGGAGAGTGGAGAGCAGACAGGCAGAAGGAAAGTGGGTGTTAACAGACAGAATCCTTTAAGAGCCAGAAAGGGCTGAAAGGCCACCATTTGTTTCAGGAAGAGTGAGTTCTCCACCATCCAAGGTGATAAAAGATCAAGTCAGAGAGAGCAGGGCTGTTCTGCAACCCAAAATGCAAACGACCAGGGGAAATGAATCATTTTGAACTGATGAGGTTAGGACAGCAGAGTGATGCAAAAATTCTGAGCGCATTTTCCTATGAATTCCGGTGTCTGATGAATTGGCCTTCCAGCCACACAGTTCAGAAAAGCCCTGTCGATCCATCAGCCTCTCAGGTGGGGATTCACGAGGGGCCATTCCAGGGCTGGAAGTTTAGGCTCTCCTGCCAAGTCTGCTCTGATGGAGGCATTTCAAAAGTGCTTTTCATTTCCGACTTTTCTTTAGCAAGGAGCACTAAATATAATTCAGCCCTGACGTGATGGCTGAGATTATCAATGCTGCAGGACAACCTGAGAAATAAAATGTGTCCCGCTTTCGTGGCTTTGGAAGTCAGTAGCAAAGAATGATGACAACTTTTCCTTCCAACCCCAGGAGAGGTGCCAGAGCCCATGCCCCTTGCTTTGGGGAAGAGTTGAGGCGTCTAACTTTGAAAGAGCTCCTGGAAGCACGAAAGAAGGGGGACTCTGGGGAGAGTGGGGCTCATGGTGAGCAGGGAAGGGAAGGGTGGGTGGTCCCACTTTCTTTTGGCACCCTGAGAACAGGATATCTGGCCCCACCCTCCCCAGCTTGGGAGCCAGGGCAGAGGTCCTGGTGGCTGCGTTGGCAAAGGTGGGGTGGATGCTATTATTCCAGCTGTCCACCCTCATAGAAACGACACAAGCACAAACAGTGAGTGTTCAATTGCAACCATGCTAAATGACAAACCAGAAATCCTTTCCTGGACTCTGTAACCCTCAGGGTTCTTGTATGATGCAAAGTTGGGATGGGAGACTCCTTAAATTCGACTGAGATCAGCTTTCTCCCCATTCTTATTTGTGGGAACTGACCAGGTGTAATTGAATTTGGAAAACGGAAGACAGGCGCTCTGAGCGTGTGTGAACACTGCAACAGTAGGTCACTAGGCTGTGAGACCACATGGTGACTCGAAGGAGAGGGGACCTGCCGTTACACCTGCCTTCCCCCCGCCCCACTTCTCCCTGCTGCTTCCACTCTCTGCCTTATTTATAAACTGCTGCTCTGGGTGAGGGCCTGCCTCTCCTGCACTCCAGTTCTTGGGCTTTGAGATAAATCCCCACATGTGCACCAAGGGCTGTCTGCTTGCTTCTGAGTCCTACCTATACCCAAACCATTCAAGTGACTGGAAGTCTGGCCTTCTGATGTATGGGGATTTCTTCCATTATGTCCTGTGAGTTAGGGTGATGTGATGCAGAAGCCACAAATTTGTTGGAGATGTCTATAGATTACTAGGACTGGACTTCATTTAGTACACTGAATTTTTGTTTGCTTTGCATTGTATTTTCCTTAAACAATAAATCAGCAGAGCCCTGGCCCATGTGGTTCAGTTGGTTGGGCATCGTCCTGTGCACCGAAAGGTTGCAGGTTCGATCCCTGGTTGGGGTGCATGTGGGAGGCAACGGATTGATGTTTTTCTCTCACATCGATGTTTCTCTCTCTCCCTCTCCCTTCCTCTCTCTCTAAAAATCAATAAAAACATATTTAAAACAGAACAAATCAGTGGGGGTCATCTCAAATTGAGATATTTCATATGAAAACATGAATTCTCAACATCTCTTGGGAAAAAAAATCTATTGACATGAGGCATCAGTCTTCCGTGGCAATGTGTGGCTGGTGCTGAGCAGGGCTGCCCTCTCATGAAGCTACACTATTCAGCTCATATGACTGAGCCCTCCCTATGATATTCCACCCTGCCCTCTTCTCTCTGCCTGCCAGCCCATGTCAGACCCTGGAGAGGCCAGCATCCCTTAATCTCTCCTTTGCTTATAAGCTTAGCGCAGAAGCCAGCTTGCCTCTTCCTACATGAAATAATGATGCTTATTGCCAGCATTATTAAGCCCATTCTGGTCCCCCTTTCCAGGTTGTTTCTGTCACTTTTTTCTTTGTGAAGCCAAATAGCTACCCCCTCCAGAGTGTACGAGTGAAAACCGCCCTCCCAGGTTAGTACCTTAACAGTCCGGTTGTCCAGGCCCTTCGTGTGCTCTTCAAACTCCACTCCAACAGTGAAATCCAAGTCATAGTTGCGGAACGTGCTGTTGGTTTTCGTCTTGAAGTTATCACCATCTTGATTAATGATCTTCGTCTGAGTCAGGCGCACTGCGATCTTGCGGGTGGCAAAATCAATATCTGTTGGCAAAGGGAGTTGTGGAGGTTCTGATGTGCTCAGTCAGGCCCATTCGTTTCTTTAACAAGACTAAGCAATCAAGACCAGAGACACAGATCGGGGCAGGCCACATTTCTTTAAGTGGGAAACAAGAGTTGTCTTACACACGACCAGTTTGGGCATCTCAGTCAATTGTCGGGGACCCTGGGGTTTCTCATGCCTCCTCAGGAGTCCTTATGGCAGGGGGAGGTAGCAGGCAGGGCTCATGCCTGAGCTGCAACTCTGCAATATGGGTTCACGAACACAAACACACACACACACACACACACACACACACACACACACACACACACACACACACGTGCGCCCCTCCACCACAGCAGCTTCATTCTACTAATTTGACATATTGTGTTTCTTTGTAAGAGTTTGCTAAATGTAAGACTTCATGTTTAAAAGAAAAAGGACTGTTTAAAAACAACCAACCTAGAGCATGGGTAAAGATGGATTTTGTTAATGTTCACAGCAGGGAAGGATACATACAAACTTCCATTTTTAAAGCAGATTAGGAGCTCGCTTAGCTAGGCTGTTCTCCCTTCCTCATCAGCCCCCAGGAAAGCTTTAAGCATACTTAATAAACACTTGCTTAGAGAATTGTTTTGTTGTTTTTAAGAAAAAGATAGGCATTTGTCTATATTTTTATTATGAAAAATTTCAAACAAACAGAAGTAGAGAAGAGGGTACAGGGACCCCTACACTTATCACCTGTATCCAACAGTTATCAAGATTTCACTGCATTTATTCATCTACAGCTTTTCTTTGTCTTGATATTTTAAAGGAAATCTTACTCATCTCTTAGAGACCATTAGGAAGTAGAAGGGAGCATGCCCTTCAATGGAGTGTTTCATTTCCTAAGCTTTGCATTTTACAGTAAGGTGCTAAGTGCTGAGCTCACCTTTTTGCTAACCTCTGGTTATACGTAAACCATCACCCAATCCCAAAAGCCTCTATCCTGTGGAATAAACCTAAAAACACAAGATAATTCTGGAACTGCTAAATGTCTTTTCTTGTTATGAACACCATTAAGCTCTTGGTCTCTAGCCAAATCATACTTGACCCCCTTTATGCCTGTAAATTCCCTAGATATCTTTGGATACCCATCTAAATCTTTAATTTTTTTGAAAATCTACCTGGAAGGTTTAAAAACCAATAAGATTGTTTTTATTATATCCCAAGGGTAATCTCAAGGGCAAGAACAGTTCGGATTCATTGAGTGCTGTTTCTCTGAGACTTCCAGCCCCATCTCTATGAAGGTGATTAAACCTCACACTGTGTTCATGAGTCCAGCAGTTGCCAGCAGTTCTGGGAGCTCATGTCAATTTGGAGAATTAATATCTCCTCTGGTGGTCCCCCTACCCCTTCTGCTGTCCTCCCATGGTGGCCAAGCATCACTTCCCTTACCCTCTCTCCCCAGTTCCTTTCTGACACATTTCCTTCTGAATTCCCCTTTGGTCACTGTCACTCCCCTTTTCCTACAGAACCAAGGAGAAGCCCAAGCTGGCTGCTTGGACAACAACAGAATCACATCTGCATGGGAAAGGGCCCTGGCTGGTCTTTTGGACCCTAAATTATATAAAGTCAGTTTTTATCGTAAGAGAAAAAATTTAAGTAACATCATTCAGCCCAGGAGATAAAAGAATTACATACCTGAATCCTAAGTTGAAATTAGGTTCAGGTCAGCATGAGCTGGTGCATGAATGCCAGTGCCTTGCTAAACTATTGCTCACTACTATTTGTTGAGAACCTACCATGCCTGAGAATTCACCAATGAGTCCCAAACTGGCTGCCCAACAGGATCACCTGGGAAAATGTAAAAACTACAGATTTCTGGGCCCTACCTCAGACCCAAAATCTCTGGATAGTTTTAGATCTCGAATTTCCTCATAATGAGCTGTTTGGAGAAAGACTTCCATGATTTAAAATACCTAAAACCTCCTGTTTAAGTATCTACTCCTCACATCATAGGAGATGACATGGAGGCCCAGAGAGGTTATGTGACTTATGCAGCTGAAAAGTCACATAGGGCTTGCTAATTGGAAGGAGTTTGGGGAAGAACCAAGTTGGGAAGAGAAAACAGTGGTTTTGTGCACTGTCCCCACCATACAGCATTTGTTTTCTGGGCCCAGGGCTCTCTAAGAAATCCGAGTTGGAACCGTCACACTCTAATCCCTGTATGTTGTCTGCCAGCTGGATTAGCTTTAGCTCTGTGGCACGTCCAAGCCACACAGCCTGTAGGGCACAGGACATGGGTGAGACAAAGGCTCTCTCTGCTGCGCTTTGTGCTGTGAACACCTCTAGGCATCTGGGCCAGCATTCGCAGAGCCCAGGTGCCCCATGGTGTTTGTCACGGGGCTCAGACCCATACAACATCTGGTGGTTAAAAAAAAGTGCTCATTACCAACTAAGTTTGGGAAATGAATGAAAACCAAGAGAAGCTTGTTTCTGTACTGAAGATCTTCATGGAGCCTATAAACTAGGAAAGATGCTTTGTAACTCCAAGAGCAGGATACAAGACGTAGCCTTTCTCAGTCTTTTGTGGCTGTGGAGCTGCCCCATAGTGGAACCTCAAGCTGGTGTTCCAGAGGACATAGTACAGAAGAGCCTACAAAACCCCTTCTGAGGCGTTTATCTCAGTCACCTGAGCCCTGCAGTTGTGGCAATGTATGTTTAATCTTTCTCCTTTCAAGGCAACTGCTGGCCTGTTTGGAAGGGAGAAGACTAGAGAGGACAGTGGTCAAGGATTTCTCACTTAAAACGAATCCCTCTTTAAAATTGCTAAAAGCCACTAAGGAATGTCTTCCCTATCTAGTTAGTATAAGCACGTGCTTGAGGCAGGCAGACGGCTAACATGTCACATTCCAACCCGTGTTTCCCTCCTCCTACCCCAGGCACTCTGTCTAGTGCATCAGGTGACATCCACGTGTCTAACTTCAGTCTTGTCGCTGGACACGCGGGTGCAGATCTGGAAGCAGCAGAGAGCAGTGGCCGTAAGTGGAGCTGTTGTAAACTGCATCGGGTCATTTTGAGGATGAAATCTGACAGCGTTTGTGAAGAGCTCTTCCCGGTGGCTTGTGGTAAGGGCCTCATAAATGGTAGCTGCTGGCATCTCATCATCATCATCGCCAAGTCCCCTGATCGCACCAGCTGGCTGGCTTGGAGTCCTTTGCATTTTTCCAGGCGCTCCCTGTATGCTTGCTCCCTGAACCCCTGCCCCTGAGCTCCCCGCTCTCCAAGCCTCACGAGGCCCAGCCCAGCATGCAGCCGCAGCCCTGCCTTCCCCACCCCCTTCTGCTCTTTCTTGCCTCCTTCTCACCTGCTCTCCAGGCCATTTTACTCCCCAGGGGACACTACCTGGTCACTCTACCTGATCCACTTTCTCGCTCACATAGCCCAGGCCCATCACATGGGCATTTTATCAGCTTTCTCACTCCATGGTTTGGTCAACGAGTAGAAACAACTTTAGCTCCTGCTTTGCCCTTGGTGCTGAGGTCCATTCTGCGTTACATTCTGCTACTGGAACCATAGTTAGGAGATGGGAAAAGTCCAACCAACTAACCAACTAACCAACCAACCAACCAACCAACCACAGGTCATGTGTTAACCAGAAGAAACAAAGAGGGTTCCTCCAGGCAAAACTACTCAGAAAGAACTGGGAATTACAGAGAAATTTAGAACTGAAGTGTTCCTCAGAGAGTAAGTCTATTTTTACTGCCCAGATGTGGATATCGAGGCCCAGAGACGTTAAGGGGTGGGTTCAGAGTCAGTCAGCTAGGCCAGAGCTCCAACAGTTTGTCTACAAATACATCCTGTTTGTCATTCACAACTAAGGCTTTCCTAACAGAAAATATCTCTCGTCCTTGGTTGCTTAGAAAGGTGGATTGCAGTTTAAACTGTCTATTGCTGAGAGAACTGGCTTGTCCTGAAAACACCATCCCTAGTTAATCTTTCTGACCGGCGCCCGCAGAATCTTATTAGGGGCTCTATGCAAATGAGATCAAGCACACTTCTCCGGATTGAAAAGTGGCCTGGCCTCCTGGCTACCCTTCAGTGTTTACACAGGCCAGTTAATCAGGCCACCTCTGCTCTACTCCAGGGGAGGGAGCCAAAGGTTCTGCTGGCGGATGCGTGATATTTCTAATCAAAAGGAAAGGTTTACCTGCAGCTGTAGAATGCATACATGTGCCTGTGAGCACACACACACAGGGGTTACAAAAACACTTCCTCTGTGTACTTTGGAGAGAAAATTATTTTTCTGATATGGTATTTTAGCACCAGGGTTATCAAATATGTTTTATCTGCTTTTCTGGATTAAAGGTAGCTCTGAGCCTGATTTATAGCCAGGTGAAATGAATTTCTATCTCAGAGGAAATGTCCAAAGGCAAGCTATTTCTGAATAATATATATGGCTTGTAGCTGCCGCAGAAGGAAAAAACAACACTGAAGTGACTTTATTAAAAGCATACTTTTCATAACTGCATCTTGAACAATGCAAGCCATAAAGTTGAAATACGAGTATGCTACTCAACATTAAAATGCTTTGTAATGGGCTTGTGAAAAAAAGCTAGTCGCAGGCTCAAAGGGCAGGCGCTCTTTGTAAATTAAAGAGCAGAGATGCACCCATATTCATCATCTGCAATCTGAGACCCATTCCAAGTGCACCTTTGAAGGGCTTCAAACCTGGACTCCTTAATTCTCAAATCATCAGCACTCTTAGGCAACTGTGAGAAGCAGCGTGGAAGAGAAATCTCCGTTTTCCATGCCATTTCCTCCTCCTGGTAACACAGTTAGGGAGGAACTGGCCTGGCCCCCTGCCTGCCTCCTCCTCTCACTCCTCAAGGACATCTCCGAATAGGTTTTGAACGTTCCCTGGCCAGCAGAGGCAGGCCAGAGACGTTGGGGTGACTCCCTGCTCCCCCTGCACTATTTTACCTCCTCACTGTAGTCTAGCACTCACCACTGGGAGGGGGCCAGGGTGGAGGTTCTGCCAGTACATGCAAGGAAGGCACCAAACTTGTCCTCATCTGGGCTCCTTCCACGCCCCCCCCCCCCC